ATTCATCAGTACAAATGTAATAACGATGGAGCACATTTAGTGGATATTGATTCCAAGGTTGAAGACGACTGGATAATCGAAAATATAGCGAAAAATAATTTGTGTAAGTATCAAGCATATTTTACGAATAGAATAGAGAATCGGATTGATTAATCCAATTTTTCGATTAAGATGTGAGAAAACTAGTGCAAACTACGTATATCCATTAATAATTATATACAAATACAGACTTTTCAGAAGAGATCATATGGATATCATAATTGTATTTGTAAGGCTATTTTATCTTAAGAATCTATATTCCTTTATGAATATCGTTATTTGTATTATTCTAAAAAAAAAAACCTCCTAATCGATATTCTTCAATTTATCTAATGTAGCCCAAAAAGAAAGATATTACATAGGTGCAAACTCATTCCAAGAATTTGGAGTTTGGAGGTGGTCTTCAAACGGTCAGATATTGTCATATGATAACTTTGCTCCTGGACAGCCCAATCTGTATCCAAAGGAACGCTGTGTACTGATCTACTGGATTACTAACCTAAAGATCTTCAAATGGGGCGATGGAAACTGCGAGGTTCAACAAAGGTTTATTTGTGAAAAAGAAATGCTATAAGGTTTATCATCCCTCAGTACACACATGTTGTGCTACCAGGTCAATGAATATCCTTAATGGAGATCTATTTGATTTTTTTTTTATGTAAAACATTTAAACTGAGTATTTGTTATGTTATCTGATTCAACCATTTTATACATGGATTCAGAAAGTAATGATGACTTTTTTATCATGCTTTTTTTAAGTAAGAGCAAAAAATCGGGAAAAATTACATTTTCAAAATATGAGGACATTATATGAATGGAGAATATACATTATAGAGCCAGGTTTGGTGCATCTTGGGGAATTTTGAAATACCGTATATACATCTACCATATTAGTCGTTTAACTCATCAATCGACAGTATTTTACAGAAATTCCTCATTGATCCGCTAATAAGTCTGTACATTTTTTTGTCAAACTCAATTTTTTAATTTCAAATAATCTTCTTTTGTATTTTCATGTATAGTACCAACCAGACCCAACCTGACACAAAGCAGTCCCAGAGCAGTCCCAGGGACTGCTTTCTGGGACTGCTAAAGCAGTCCCACAGCAGTCCCATGGCGGTCCCGGCAGTCCCAGAAAGCAGTCCCAGCAGTCTCAGTGGGCGAGGTTAATTAATCTAATGGGCGGAGCTTACTCAGAAATGAGATTACCAATAAACAATGTACCTATAAAAGGCAGTTGAAATTGATGATCATTTCTTTCTGAGTAGTATCAACAAATATTTACAATTCTTAAACGACAGTCATTTCTGATCTGTTAAGAAAATTACAGTGCGCGTATAGAAATAAATAATAATTTTTGAACAAAGAAGACATTCACACCCATTCATAGCATGAATATTTAAACACAATTATTTGGTATATTAATTTTTCACCAAAATAAATCAATGTCTTTATTTTCTGTGATTGATATTGGTTTTTTTATTTATTTATTTATTTTTTTTATAGAAATTGAATTTGAATTGTTTATTTTCTACCAGAATGAGCTTTAACGAGGTTCGTTCCTGAGCTTTTGAGCACATTTTTGTCTTGACCTCTATTCAAAAAATTCTGCATAATGTTTTTGTTCTTACAGTAAATTTGGATTCTACAGTGCTAATTAAACGATATTTAATCAAAACATCATGAGTAAATTCCATACCGAAAGAATTAATTGAGGAACTATATTTTGTAGCGGAAGGCATTTTAGAAGAAAATGATCAATTTTTCTCTTTCGAAATATTTACAGTATTGTTAAGTTTAGATTCCTATTTTTACATGCAGTCTGCACACAGAGTTATTTTGTGCAGTGAAATGTTTTATGCTGGTATTAAAATAATATAATGTATTAACCGTCATGAATTTTATCATCATATTGGACAAATATAGCAAACATATTGTGAAAGTCCTGGGGAAAAAATAGCCCACTTTTAGCAAAGAATTAACACTAATTTAGTTATATCTTAAAATTAACATCACAGACCCCCACTTTTAATTTTCTTTTCTGAATATACAAGCTAATTTTAACCATTATGCTTAAATTCAGAAAAATTACATTACTTTCAGATAATTCTATTGCTTGTTGAATTTTTAATGCCAGAAAAATGACATTTTATGAGTGCAAAAAGGTCAAATAATTGACTATGCGAAATAATTTGAACTTTTTTCTGTTGTCAGACATTTTAGAGAGACTATTCAAGATGAAAAAAGACTTTGCTTGTTCCCATAATTTATTTGAATAAATAGATATCAGAGGAAAAACTTTGAAAAATTGATTTATGTGTTAGACGTAAGTACGGTGCAAAAAGGTCATATTAAATGCTCCGTAGCGCCAAAAGAAGCGCACTGACCCTCATTTTTGGTTTTGATTTTTAATTAAGCTATGTGTATAGATTTCAAAGATATACTTGATAAAAAAAATTCTCAATACTTTTGATAACAGGATCCAACCTCCTTAAATAGATCTTATAATTATAGAGCAAGGCCAGATCCCATACTATACTCTGAATGCATTTTACTAAGTATTGAAGCTTTTGAAAAATTCTTTGAAAAATTTTGCCGAGTATTATATTTCAGTCATGATTATTTTCAATGACTTGCCAATTTAATTATAGTTAGATTCTCAGTTTTAAGTGTTTTATTATATAAATGCTCAATTGTACATCTGTAAATGGAACCCTCAGATTATATTCAAAATTAATTAATCCCAAATTGAATTTATACACAATTATTGAAACAAAAATTTTTTGCAGTACATAGATTGAAATAATTGTCATTGTTGACCAGCGTGTTCAGTGATGTGTAACACTGATACCCAAGTAACATGCATTGACTCTCTGCTAATTATGCCCAAAGGCGATTAAAACCATTTTATACCATTTTGTATTGCTTTTTTATTAATCGGTCAGGTAAACACAAACAAAACAAATAAGAAATAAGTCCCAATTCCCGATATTTTCAAATGTTTATTTTTTAAATAAATGTACTCTTTTAATAACTTGTTTATAAATTAAAAACTAATTCATATTTAATAAATCTCCCAATAATTGTTCACATTGTTTATGTGACAGAAGAATGGTAGAATGATTTTATTTCATGGTCATTTAATAAATTATTAGGTTTTATTTGAGGTCGGTTAAAAATAGCATGGAGTGCTCTTTTTAAGCACGGTATTAGCTTTTTCAATTAAGGAAAAAAAAATCCAGTACAGTACGTCCCTCTAAATATCTTACTGAAATGACAAGTTTGTTTTTGTTTGTTTGTTTTTTTTAATAGTGCTAATGCAAACTTTGAGTACATAATTTAATAGCATTTATTTATTAAATAGGCCTAGATATTTTTTTTTAAATACAGTGTACCTGTATTGAAGTTTAATTCAAGGGATAAATATCATCCCCTGAATTCCTTTTTTAACTCCTTTCATTTTTTTAAATTAATTCTAGACTACAATTGTGTAAATTTACAGCCCCTGAAGACATTTAGTAATTACATGCATAACTATCTCTACTTTTAAATTTTGTAAGAAATACTTGTTTTTTTAAACACCTCTCTGCAGAAAGTAAACAAAACAACAACAGGGAGCCTGCAAATTCAGAATACACAAGAGACGGAGCTATCTTGTCACTCAGAACCTTTCTCACGCATGAGTGAACAAAGCAGTCCCAGAAAGCAGTCCCAGAGACTGCTGGGTCTACTTTCTAGAGCAGTCCCACAGCAGTCCCAGAGCGGTCCCAAAGCAGTCCCGGGACTGCTTTCTGGGACTGCTTAGGTGTCAGGTTGGGCCTGGTTGGTACTGTACCTGTGTTTCAAATTAAAGTGTGTTATTTGGTTTGCCATCGAAACATTGTATTTTATTCCTTATGAACAATGTTTAAAATAATGTACATAATAAGCAAAATTGATATCATTAAAATCTGTGAGTACCTGTACTATTTGCGTATAGTAACATTAGATGCTTTAAAAAGTCTTAAGAATATGTCCTGATATTTGGCAACGATAATTGTTGGACATTCCAAGAAAATACTCTATTTTGTGGTCTGGCAAAATTATATTTTAAGGACTAGCTGGTAAGTCGGACTTTTGGACCAAAATTTAACCTTAAAAATGCTTTTTGTAAGTCTGTATATACGGTAGAAACAATGTTTATAATTGTCATTGCGCATTTAAAACAAACAGAATGGTGAAAACGACTGTCTTAATAATGCATGTTTTTTTATAACACTTAAATTAATTTGACAAAATTTACAATGTAACATGCGATCGTCGTTTGAAAAAATTCTTGTAAATTGTAAGAATTTGAAATATTACAATATTACAAAATGTTAAAGCATCGATATTTGACGAGGTCCGTAACTTTGAGTAGTATCTGTCAGAGATATCCTAAAGATAAATTATTCTTCAGTTAATCATTTAAAATTAAAAATGGCATTAACTTAATATACAACTTGAAATTTTCAACTCTTATCATAAAAAAAGTTACTGAATTTATATAGGTGATCATCGATTTGGCACTTGGTGGGTTTAAGACACACTCTCAGACGTGTGCCTTCGGAAACCAAACTTGAGTCAATATCAATACAGATTCATCAATACTAGTATTGACAATGAAGGACTAATGTTCAATATCAGTTTGCATCATTACGGTACTTACAAGAATGCAATATTTATCGATAAATCAATTCATTTCAAAACTACCCAATAAGAAAAATGTAACCTAGCCTATAGAAATTTTCATAGGTTTTAATTTTTTTTAATTGAATATTCACTAAATGACATCGCTGCTTCATCTTCATAAACAAATATTTGCCTGGCTCCAAAGTGTACATATGTATATGCTTTCTCTAGAGTAAGTGTAGATATGATAAGTTAACAGATAATGAAGGCTATCAGAAAAATTCAATATTTTATTTGTATTAACTTCTTCATCATGGACGCTCTGGGTGATCCTTGAACCTAAAAAAAAGTTTTTAACGTAATGTTTGTAAGTACGTATTTGCAATAGCAACGTCTGTAAACGTTTGCCTCATAAAAACAAAAGGAAAGGATATCAGAGCTAACCCAAACGCAAAGATTTACAGAATGATTTTGTAATTTGAAAAAAAAATGTATTTATATCTCACATTGCCGACATGTCAAAGTAACGTCTTTGTATTGTTATTTGATCAATATATCCCATTTCTCCCTTAGATAGAGAAAAATCGAAAACCTGCAAAGAGCAATTCTGAATATAATCCAAATGCATTTTTTCTTACAGATTTTAAAGTAAAAAAAGTAAAGTTGTGGGATCCTGATAAGGATGTATTTGGAATATCAAAAGATTTGACCCATCGAAGAGAAAACTTTTCCGGAAAAGTCACATTTAAAAATTAGTGATCATTAGTTGTTTTCTACTGTATATATGTCTTTATTTTTCAAATTTGTATTTTAAACCTCAAATTTATTAAACTTTTAAATTAACCCCCAAAGTTGGCCAAAACAGCATTTTGTCCGTTAAAGCACTGATTTTTGCATGACTTTTGGCCTAGAAGTCTACAGGGCAGGCCTGCCCCTATATAAAATTATGATATTTTGATAGGTTGTGTTGTAAGGAATAATTTAAGATAGGATTTGTTTGGGGGCATCCCTGCCCTAGGGTCTAAATCTACCAAAAAAAAAACTACAAAAAAAAAAAATAAAGAATCCTGTTTTTGAAAAACCTGGTTCACAGTTATGCATCATTTTTTTTTCTTCAAAGCCAGAATGGCACGATTGGTAAAACAGCTAAGAATTAACAAAGCAGTTACTTTTTTAAAGCCGTTGTTCGAATCCACCTGGTGCCACACTTTTTTGTATTAAATTCTTGTCTTTTCAAAGACTATTTAATTTTTATTTTTTTTTTACATTTATAGGGTTTTGAGTAATTTCGTTAAATCATCTACCTTTTACGCATTTTCATTCTTGATATAAAAGACACTAAAGAGAAAGCAAATAGTAAATTCCATTTAACTACATGTAATCATAAAACACAGTCAAGCGGAACTATACCTCAGTATAGCACACTTTCTACGAGGACAAGAATTATCCACTCTTTGCTACTCGATACAGGTATTCTCGCCTGCAACGAGTTGCGATGGACTTCTATTATATATATTCCTTAGAATTTAATCACTTCAGTGAATGACATTTCTCTAATTTCGTCTGATCTACTAGTACTCGTCTGCGTTATTGCGCTGAAAGGTATACGTACTGCTTGTATTATCTGAGCTTTATGTATTAAGAAATATATACATGTACATGTACTGAGTCAATGTTCTAATTTCAGATCTCAAGTTTTCAAACAGTAGGATTAAATATCCTTGGATTTCATTTATATAATTTGCATAAATTAATGTCATGTTTTATTATATCCACGGATATGCGTTGTATAAAATTAACACATATCAAGAAAAAAAGAAACTGTATAAAAATTACCATTATCTACAATGAAAAGTAAGGGGAAAAATCAAATAAAAAGTTCGAGATAACAAACTCATGCTTCATAGTTATTGTCTTTGGAATGGTTCTTCCTATCTCTGCATACTGAAATGTTTTTTAAAAATGAATTATTACATGTATTTAGCCTAAAGTCATTGACCGGAACAGAAGTGGAAAAGCTTTATGTAAAGATTAAAACCGATCCCGGTCCTATGGGTCCAATCTCTATTTATAAAGAAGTTTTCTTTACGCGATTAATTTCTTCTAAAACTTCAATCACTTTAGAGCCAACCGTGTGAAAAATTAAACAATTAATGATAGTTTTTGTCTCACAAGTTGACAAAAACTATAACATCAAGATAATATAAGTATTTGCTGATACCTGAAAATTGCCACGTATTCTTTCTGGAGTCACACTCTTTGGAGTTACAATAATACCTCTTTGGATGAGATTTCGAAGCAAAATCTGTTAAGAAATACATTGCATTTTATAGAGAACCCATAGTAAAAGCCTTGATTTTTATTTCTTTCACTTAAAGAAGTCGAAATCATTATTAATATGCATTTGTTTACTTTAATCTAAAACTATACCTCGATCCGGAACAAGGTAATACTTTATATTTCCATTATTTATTTTAAAAAAAAAAAGTAATTTCAATTTATCTATATAAGCACCTTTTTTAATTCATTCTACACTTAAACGTCAGAATGATACTTTATTATCTCTACTAATGTACATATATAATATTAGCTTTCTTCTTATGTATATTATTCCTTACTTGTACGCCCTGAGGGGCCAAAACTAGTATCGATAAATCTTATCCTATCTTATCTATATAGTGTATGAGATATCTTTTTGTTGGTGTGCCTGTGCAGGCGTTTTTCCATATTTCTTTGCTATTCTTTGGATGAAAGGATCTTCTAAAGCAACAGGTTCATCTGCCTCTTTTCTAGAATATCAAAATACATCTAAACGTGAAAATTTTTCAAAAAACTGGGCAAACAGGTCGAAAGAAATCTCTATTGTGCGACAAATATGAAAGTGAAAAAAATAAATCTTAATTTTAACAAAATTTTCTCTGATACTTCATCTAACATTAAAGAATCCATCATGTAGAATCTCCACAATTTGCAAAAATCTCACAAACATTCAAATCCTTTGTCTATAAAAAAGCATACATACACCAAAGAGGACAAAAATGATCATTTCTTCATACTAGTACTATAAAACAATTTTTGAATAAGAGTGGGTCTTCGCTTCATTTTTTTTTAAGTTTATCCTCAAAGTATGCGTCAAATTAGCATTTTTGGTTAACAAAAACATAGAGCTAAGACCCACTATATCTTAAAAAAAAAGTTTTTATGACACTACATTCGTATTTTTTTTTTCGAGAAAAAAGTTCATTTAGTCAAGGGTCATATCACAGGAGACTCGAAGGAAAATGATACTCAGGATTTTTGTTGTTTGAGTTCGAATCCCAAGAATACCACATTATTTTTTTTAAATAATTCTTAATTATATAAATATAAATTTTTGATATATACATCGGGAAATTTCCGTTTTGGAAACCGTATATATACCACCCATATGTATGTATTGTCATCTTATTGATATCATTACGTTTTTTCAGTTAATAAATATGAATGTTATTACATCTAGTTTTTCTAATCAAAATTTGCAAACATATGAATTACAGTTGAAATGGTGTCAACATGCTATTTTTCATTTTTGCCGTTCTTGATTTATTTTATAGGATGTCACTCAGTAGTTCACTTTCTTCAAGTATTTGCATACCATGAATATCATTTTGGTATAGAATCTTTTTCAGATTTTTTGATTTTCCTATTCCAGTGATTTAAGATTTTCTTCCTATGGAACGCCGTTTTGTGTCAAAACATTTCTTACATTTGAGAATTAGTTTGGTGTATGTATTAATAAAAAAAACCCTGACTTTTCTATGACTTTTTATCTGATTTATTTAATAAACACTACAATTGGATGAACTGACTGAAACGTTCTGTACCCAACACAAAACATACATGGTACATGTAAAACTAGTATTATTTGCCCAACATTCAAACTTATGTTAAAACTAATGATAAGTGTGTAAGATTTGTGAAAGAAGGGGAAATGGTAAATCTGAATATTTTGATAATTGATTGATTTCCTTCAAATGGTTGAAATTCTCAACTCCCAGGGGTGCAGTTTTGGAAGTTTAATTGTTATACATACAGATTTTCAGGCCTTCCTGGAGAACCAATTGGACTGTAAGCTGTCAATGTAACTTCAAGCTTCTTACATCCATCAAATAACTCTTTCTGTGGACAATATATGAGACATTCCACCTGACAGAAGAAAAATAAAAGGCCTATCTAAAAACTCAATTAGAGATTTTTTTGTGATGTTTATTTCGTCTTTAGTTTGAGCCTAAGCATTGCTATACATTTTTAATGTGTTTCTTATAAAGCTAAATTTTTAACTGGAGAGAATTTTCTGAATGGTGAAACTCTAAGAAAGGTAAGGGCAAGCTCACCTGGTTTGTAACAGGTTTGTGTTTAGCCATCTTGCAGATCCTTTCAATTTGTGAGATACTAAAGTTAGACACTCCAACAGATTTGGTCAGTCCAAAGACTACAAGTTCCTCCATTGCCTGTAAAACCCATATTGAGTTGATTTTATTTATATAAATATAATGAGAGTGAGAGAAAAAGCTTTCGTAAGATATACCTTCCATGTTCCCAAAGGGTCACACTTTCCTGCTATTTTCCAGCGTCCATCTTCAGTTAGGGGGAAAATATTGTTGTCATTTCCATCATACTGGAATAAGCATTACATATATCACAGTGTCTGTAAGTTGAACTTCGTTATGTAAATTCGGATTTTATCCCCAACATTTGAAATCTGAGAACTTCTAATAAGGCTTTCAATTTTGTCAGGCCTATAATGAAATACAAATAAGCCTTTCTATGGGATTCGTCTCAAAAATGATCTCCTTAAAGCAGAAGGAGACTAACTAATCATTCTAACCCTCAACCCCCCACTCTTCCAATCCTTCATTGTTTTGTTTGCCTGTTTGTCAATCCTTTACATTTAAAGTAATATTCTTATCCAGTTGGGCTAATAGTTTTTAAAAAGGTTTTGCTTCTATTACATGTACAAGACCTATAAAATATTTGTTTAATAAATTGTCATCCTTTTAGGCTTACAGTGACCTTTTTCAATACTTTTGGAAAGAAATCGAGGTTTACAAAGTGTATTTCTTTTAACAGTGAATCTGAAATGTTGAAGCGACCTTTAATCTACTTCATAAAAAAGCAATATTGCCATATCTCGGATATTTTTTTTGGTTTTGTTTTATTGTTACAAGACCTCTAAAAATATTACAACTAATGAATCTTGCAACTAATGAATATTCCTCTGATATAGATATTCTTTTGAATTTATAAAACGCCTTTTAATATACACGTAATATATGTATCACAGTAAATAGCAATCTATTACATATTAATGTATTTTCTGTTGAATATCTTTTAGTTATCTTATGACCTGCCCTTTGACTCAAGGAACACTTGATTATTGTTTAAAGAAGATATCTAGCATGACTCCTTGTGACTTTTTCAAGATATATATTTCAGATAATAGATATTAATTTCATTTAATTAATTCTAATTATGTTTACAACTTTTTGGCCTTTGTAACAAAATATAAAAAAAAAAACTTTGTCAGGGAAAACAAGTTTTTTTTCATGATGGAAAGAAAAATCATCAATTACAAGGAATGACATGCAAATGCTGATCATTCAGAAACAGATTACAAAAATGGGGGTGGGGGTGGAGGTTAAACTTTACTTGGAGGTTAATGTTCAGACTGTTCAGACTTCGTTCTATAATCAATGTATTCTATCAAGTATCTGCAAATGACCATCATCCTCGATTTCGAAGTAAAACAATTTTCCGTAAATTATTGTAAATGGTTGTTTCTTAGGCTTAATACTTAAAGTATTACGGGGGTACGCCAAAAATAATTTAACATGCGTCCATCGGGACAGTCCTAACTATTAAGACATCAGAATATACATAAACTATTTGTTTCAAAAATGTCCTGAACATTCTGATATCGCTAACTTATTATGCGTAGCCTATTCTGAAACAGTGTATGTTTCTAAAATGTATTCATTTAAGCTCAAACTAATCCGAACAAGTACTTACAAAATTCGGAAAGAATAACCTAAGTGAAATACTATTGGAGACTGAACAAGCAATCCAGACATTTATTAAAATATATAAACGTCACTTAAACGAAAAAATTAAAAGTCGGTAACAGTCATAAGCCATGATTTATAAGTTAAACTCGAACTATAAATAAATAAATTACTGGTCTATATAACTTGAAAAATTTCTATACTAGTATTCTGCACTATCCGAATGCGCAGAGTCTCTAAAAGATTAGCGTCATTTACTACAAGATTGATCATCTTGAATACTTTAGGCTTTCTTTGAAGATTTGCATCTTATCAAGCAACCCAAAAGGGATGAAGAGTGTAGAGTGAGAAGATGCCGGGACTGGATTCCTTATATAACCTTCTATGACCAATCAGTGTTTGTCCTTTTTATCTTGAAAATTATTATCCAATCTAAACGCTCTACGGCCCTATGGAAAATCCGAACAATTTCCGATTTCCGGACAAGCTAAACAGTACAGGGCCTTGTCTGGATTACCAATTAAATATGGACACAAAACTATGCATTTAGTTTAATAAATGAAAATATCACAGATTACGTTGTTTTTGTTATAAAAATCAGGTTTTAAATCAAGACTCCTCCTAAATTATATATAAATATGGAAGTGTAACTTCATAATTATGTGCGTCGATGAGATCGATAAAATAAGACAACAGTTATGTTATCATAAGGTAAAAATCTACAAATACTGCGGTCAGCATCGTTTTACAATAAATCATGGTAAAAAAATGTAACACATAATTAAACAATGTAAAATCAGGCAAAAGAATCACAAGTGACAAGACCAGTAGTGAAGCGGTTAGTTAGACGGAAAAAACACACATGTACAATGCACAAGAAGTTTGCGAGCAGTAAAATGACGATTGATTTCACTAAGAAGTAGGCAAAAGAGGTTCCATGGAGTAGTCGTGTGATCTGCAGGTCTTTTACCTCCTCAAGTCTCGATTTTGAAATAAGTTGAAATGTAAACTGGGTCTGTTACCAAAATATACATGCAATTGTTATTTGATAAACAAGAATCTCCCTAAAACTTACCACTAAAGGTTACCCCTTTATATATTTTCAAATGATTAATGACTATCTTTATGTCAGAAATGTAAATTTTAAAGACAAGTATATTTAGTCACCTATTTCCTTGTCAAAAGTTCTACACTGTTGCTCACAAGACAATAAACTGCAATCCACTTTAGAAGGTTTTTTTTCTTTTATACTTTTAATTGTAGCTTAAGTGTAAAGCATAGTGCATAGAAACTAAAAATATCATCATTCTGTAAAAATCTAGACAAAGGCAAGCTAGGCAATAATGATAAAATAAGAGAAAATATAACCCTGTTCGTTATTTAATTAGATCATTGACCTTTGACAATTCTTAATAATCCTGTAGCTGATATAAGGATAGAATAAAAATATTGTCTTCTGGAAAGCATAAGACTCCAGAAAGCACTCCTTTCATAATTACAGCTTACAAACCTGCCAGGTACCCAGTCCAATAATTGGGATTTCATTCCAGTTATGTAGCGTTATGGTTTTGCTCATCCCAGTCATCCTGATCTTTGTCCCAGTTTCCAGATAAAAGTCAAATTGATATTACTGATAGTTAGTAGCCCTAAATTGACCTGCCTATAATCATACATCAACCTATGATAAATAAAATCAAAATGAATAAAAATTTAAAAGGTAAGGAAGTATTATAGATCAATTCGACACTTTTTGCCGTATTTGAACAGTATATCTATCATCCTTTCTATGAATTCAATTTCATAAAAGCAATAGAGGATTCTCTAATCAAATGTTTGTATATCTAGATAGAAGTATCAATTCAAAGTTATGTTAATATGAGAACATTGAGTACATGTGAGTGATTTATTTTAAAATATTTCTGGTCATAAATGACAAAATACCCGTTATATCACCTCACTTTTAAATAAAAAAGCGAACATCACCTTACATTATGACCAAGTTTTATAATTGTAAGATTTAATCGATGGAACCTTTGATCATCTTGATATAAAGGAAATGACAGTAACTGAGAGATTTTTTTTTTGACACTTTAGTATGGTAAATATTGATTTTTGTAAGATACGATCATTTTTTTTTTTTACTGAAAAGCTGTTTTAGGACTGTTAACTTAACCGTTAACTCGCATTATCAATTCTGGAACAACCCACGCATAGCTTTTTTGCTTACATTTTTGTTTATTATTTCTTTTATTTCGATAAACAGTCCTAAAACATTTCCAAATGACATTTATAATACATGTAAATTATCTTTCTTTGGTTTCTTTTTATCATGTAAGGTTAAGCTATTTTGAGAGAATAAGACAGTGTACAGTTTACTGATTGGTCGTAATTGATAAGCGATAATTAATTCGTTCAATTATGTAAATCGCACTTCACCTGAGTACACCCGAAAGACCGGACGTATTTCATAGCGGTCCGGATTTATTTCTTTACAACTGATTACAAAACTCAAATTCAACATGTAACATTGTAAATAAATAGTGTTTGGTAGTTTAGTAGTAATGCTAGCCGTTTTTGTTTTTCTATTTCCTTTGTTTTTATGACTTCTTAACTTTTTCTTCGTCCTGAGGAAGGGACAGGGCGTTCCGAAAATTTGACAATTATTATTGTTCGTGTCGTTGGTCATTTTTAGTGCTTTATATAAATTTCCATCCGTAACCTTGTATCTACTAAGTAGATCCGACACTTAGGACATATAGTGTTGTTGGTTTTTAGTGATTTATATTTATATATATATATATATATATATATATATATATATATATATATATATATATATATATATATATATATATATATATATATAATTTTTATATACTATATTTCTTTATAAAATATGTTCTGACTACCAGAAATGACGGAGAGAATTTACACTTTTTTCGCAAGGGTAAAGAAACATTGTTTCGAAATCAGTGACATTCGATTAAATATTGATTCAACAAAAAAGAACAAGAAGTGTGTATATCTAAAATCAAGTGTCCTTCCAAAGATCTAAATATGAATAAAAGTTTTCAAGGGTCTCTAAGATAGATGGACAATAAAGTCAGGGGTAAGTTATATCAGGCATATTTGAAATCAAGATAAAAAGTAACATGAGTACTGGCTTGATTAATAAATTGTATCAGAGGAATTTTTATCATAATTTGAGAAATGTGACATGTGAAGGCTTACCTACAAATTTCATATAGAAATACACCATTTTCTTTGATTTTACATATCTTATGAGTAAAATGCAGTTTCATAATACTGCTGCAACTGTCAGATGAGATAATATATTAACTGCATATTAGCATAATAGGGTAAGATATTCTTTGTAAACTATTTATTGTACAGCTGGATATATGATTACTAGTATGTTAGAATTCACATCTTCCTTTTAGGCATTTTAA